ATTAGTCTAGTTCGCCGGACAAACAAATTTTTTTTGTGGGGCTGTGTAATTAAGCTAGAGACGTGATTCGTACTTGAGCTTTTAAGATTATGTGACTATTATGTCCGTAACTTTTCTCGTAAAATACTGAATGGATTAAGTTAAAATTTTATGGAGGAGTTCCAAATATGATAAGAAATTATTGTCAAGTTCGAAAATGTTGATATATTGTTAAATAATTATTACACCGTCCGACACGATTTTTCACACAAGAAAAAATCAATGATTTTCAGAAACTAGGAACAAAAAAAAGATACCCGTGTTCGGCAGTTTTGCTAGATCAGGTCCGGGTCGCTGATTACGAATCTGATGTCAGATTTTCAAAATTCAAAATGGCGGATCCAATATGGTCGCTGATAACAAATTCGATGTCGGGTTTTCAAAATTCAAAATGGCGGATCGAATATGGTGGTCGAAATTTATAAATGTTATTAGTTTTTTATAAAACTTCGTATCTCTGGGTTTTTGGGGTCGCTTAGTACGAATCTGATTGTAGATTTTTAAAATTCAATATGGCAGACTCAATATGACGGTTGAAATTTATAAAAATTGTTAATTTTTTATAAAACTTGGTATCTAAGGGCTTTCGGCGTCTCTAAGTACGAAAGTGATGTCAGATAAGAATAATAAAAACGACAAATCTAATAAAGGTGAAGATCACAAATCTGAAAAATATTTTGGAAAATTTAAATGTTCGATCAATTTTTTGTTAAAATTTGCAAGCCAACATTTTAAAATTTTTATTTTAAGTGATTTTTAATCTAAAAGTTTGTATATTTATTAACTAAGCTTCTATTAGAATTAATAAATTCAAAAAGTTATAATCAAAATTTATTAAACAAATATAATGCAATAAAATAAAATTAATAGAAACATTTCATAACAACTCTTGTATTACGTTTGTGTAAATTTTAGACGCTTATTTTTACGATTTAAAGATTCGACCACCATATTGGATTCCCCATTTTGAATTTTGAAAACCCGACATCAAATTTGTAATCAGCAACCCCAAAAACCTTCAAGTAACAAGTTTCAAGTGAATTCGACGAATTTTTATAAATTTCAAACGCCATATTGAATCTGCCATTTTGAATTTTAAAAATCTGACTTCAGATTCGTACTCAGCGACCCCAAAAACCTTCAAGTAACAGGTTTCAAGTGAATTCGATGAACATTTATAAATTTCGACCGCCATATTGAGTCCGTCATTTTGAATTTTGAAAATCTGACATCATATTCGTAATCAGCCACCCCAAAAATCCCTAAGTAACAACTTTCAAATTAATTGGTGAATTTTTATAATTTTCGACCGCCATATTGGATCCGCCATTTTGAATTTTGAAAATCTGACATCAGATTCGTAATCAGCGACCCGGAAAACCCCGAGATACCAGGTTTCATAAAAAATTATTAATTTGTACAAGATTTCCTATCACCTTTCATTTAAGGGTTGTTTTTACCCCTAAAAGCAAAAAATGACCTGATCTAGCAAAACGGCCAAACACGGGTATCTTTTTTTGGTCCTAGTTTCTGAAAATCAATGATTTTTTCGTGTGTGAAAAAAAAGTTGAATTTTGTCGGACGGTGTTACAAAACACTTGCAAATAGTTAGAAAATGTGGGATTAGGAGTGTCGGATGTTTCTAATAATTTTTATACTCTTTATTATATTTATTTAACTATATGTCAACATTTTTGCACTTCACAACCATTCTATATCATATTTTAAATTCCTCCACAAAATTTCAGCTCAATTCATTCAGCATTTTAGGAGAAAAGTTATGGACAAATTAACATTACGGACTTAACAGTCACATGACAATAAACGCGTTTTTCTCGAAATCACTTTTTTCAACTGGTCGCCATGATATTTCAAAAACTGCTTGACCGATCACCTTGAAATTTATAGGGTATGTTCAGCACATGTGGGGAACAAGCTAAACTAGGATAATTAAAAAGGTCACGTCGTTTTTATTTTATACAACAAAACAGGCCCAAAATTGAGATTTTTTTAGAAATAAAAATTCACGGTCATGTAAAATTTTTATTTTTCAATATTTTAAAATAATCCTAGTTCACCTTGTAGCTACAGTAACACACATGAAAGTGCTTTTTTGATTTGTGATCATTCAGTTGGCCGGAATCGTGGCGATCAGTGCAGTACTTTTTTTACATAAAATACTTCCCCGCGCTGTATAACGGAAAGCATTCATTATTTTGACTTTAAAAAATTTGTAAATATACTTTAATAGTTACTAAACATATAATAAAAAATTCAAAGTTCTAAGTTTTAATCGCTCTTCAAGAAAAATTCCCAAAATATAGTTTAAAAACGGCCGTTACACGGGTGAACCCTCTTAAGCAAACAAATATTTACTTATATCATTAAATATTAATTACAGTTCAATAATTTCACAATAATTAACACTTGATTATAAATAAATACACTATTTAAAAATTAAAGCAAATCAGTTGAGAAAACACTTTAATTTGCATTGTAGTCCGACTAGACAGCATAAAGCACATCCAAGTAGATGAATACTTAAACCTGCATCACCTACTAATCTGAAGTTAACGACAATTAAAATCTAATGTCTTATATTTAAATCTTAAAATTATTTTAATAATTAACAACATAAATAAATCAAATTAAAATGTCTCCTGTAAAAAGTGGATATTTTCCTTATATATCTATATCCACCATCCATTAAATTATAAACCAAAGTATTGGTTATGTAGGGAAAAAGTAAAACTAATGTGACATTGTTGTTACGAACCGAAAAATATTAATTATAAAAATTATTATTTCCTATGTCCTGGAGGCACCAAGCTGCCAAAATAAAAAAAATTCCGTTTATTTTTATGGGATCGTGTATCCTATTTTAAAAGAAACTGCCAAGTTACGTTACTCGAAAATGAATTCAAGGGATAAACACAATAAAACAATTGAGACCCTTTTATAGATTTATTTTATATAAAGAAATCTCGACTTTAAAATATTGAAATAATACAGTAAGATAAGAAGATGGAACGATACATGTTTTAAAGACTTACTCTACTGCTTATTATACCGTCGCAAGCTAACGAGGGTGAGGCGTCGAGCTGCTATCCGACGGGCGGAAAAATATACACACTTATCGAAGCGCGAAAATGTCAATTGGTAGCGCACAAGAATGCACTTACGGGTCCACCAAATCTAAACAGCGCAGGCACCACACGTGCGGAACGGTCGGTCAAAAAGACAAAAATTCAATAATTTAATTTTATTTAAATTATTGGATTTTTATTAAACACGACTTCCGTTGGACTTCGTCGGCGTGAAGTATTCACTTGATAAAATCAAGCACGAGTTATATTGAAAAGCTTGTTTTCTCTTAGGTCTATTTTATGAATTTTCCTTGTTGGAAAATGTTTTGGTTTTAGGTATATTTACCCTTTTTTTCCATTTGTAACAATTACAACTTTGATGTTGCATTGTCATAGGCATGTAAAATTGTTAGGCCCAGAATACGTAATAAAATAGTGCAGAAGAAGATGGGAGCTGAAGAATTTTTGTTCACGGAAAAGCTCATCGCGTAGATTTTATTTTAAGTATTATTTTTATTTAAAATTTTTATTTTATCTTGTTTAATTTTTTTTTTCCAGTCCAATTTTTAATGTGGTTCCTATGCCTATTTATACTCATTTTGGACCTATAAGTGATAATAGCGTGCCTCACAAAATAAGGTATCTATTGTTATCATTAGCAATCAATAATTCCTGTAAATTTTAAATTATTAACATTGCCGCAACGTCCAACGCATTCAGGGCGCTGCCGCAATGTTTGTTAACGCACTCGCAACATTACCGTTCGCTACTTTCTTCAATTTAAAGTGGGAAACATTGCCGCAACGTTTAATGCGCTCAGAACGCTGCCGCAATGTTCATTAACACATTCGCAACATTCCAATTACTAACTTTTACAATTTTGGTTTGGGAACATTGCCGCAACGTCCAACGCATTCAGTGCGCTGCTGCGATGTTCGTTAACGCATTCGCAACATTGCCGTTCGCTACTTTCTTCAATTTTAAGTGGGGAACATTGCCGCAACGTTTAATGCGCTCAGAACGCTGCCACAATGTTTATTAACACACTTGTAGCATTTACAGCACTAAAATTAAAGATTTTCAATTAACTATGTGAATATAATTTTCATTTTTCAATATTATATTTAATTATGAACAGGGTTGCCAGATTGGGCTACAAAGCGCGATTTGTGCTATTTTTTGGGAATGTTTCGCGGCTTAAATTTCAGTTTCGCTACAAGTAGCAATTTGGGCTATTTTTTCTTATAAAATTGCTTTTTTGGGCTATTAGGAATAGTAAATCATTAATAGTATGAAAACTGTCAATTGGCGCCTTGTAGTGGACATAACTAATACTATTTCTGTACGATATTGGCGTGTGCGCTGTCGGTATTTCTCTGTGTCCTTTACGTTGTATTGTACGCACGTGGATCCGTTGGCTATAATGCTGGTTATGTTCATGTAAAAGCAGTTATTGTGTATTATGTGTTTATGTGTTCGAAGTATTCTAAGCGGCAAGTTTGATTATCAGTAAACGCAAAAATGGGGAAATGGTCACAATATTTGAAACATTACAACCCTAAATGGGAAAAAGAAGCAATTCTTAAACGTAAGTATGTTGACAAACTTATTTCTTAACCTATAAACACCGGTCAAATGTTCAGATTCTATTTGTATGTACTTTATTTGAAATCAATGTTATTATTGTATTTAATATCACAATATTTTTTAAATTATATGACATTTCAAGAATAAAGCCCGAGTCAGTTCTCGTCGCATTATGCTGACAAGTGATTTCTATTATCAAAGTATTGTATTAAAATTTATGAGAAATAAATTTCACTACAATACAAAAAAAAAATTAAATTTTTATGTACCATCGTGACAATTGTTACATCATCAATTTATTCAGAATTTAATTATAAAAATTATAAAAAATAATGTAACATTCCTGTAACAATGTTACATTATTAATTTTATTGTGAATTAAGTTATAGAAAGGATTGTAACATTGATTCAACAATGTTACAATCGCAATATTAAGGATGCTTAAAAATATTGGAATTGTTGGATCTGCATTAGTATTACGGAAAAAAGTCATTGTTACCACCTATACATTTTAAGGTTGAATCATCGTATGAATTTCTTTTCTCTCTTGCACATATGAATTACTGCAGGCGTAGAACGAACGAAGGCTCACACAGTATCATGGATAGAGGCTGGCCTTAGTGTTAAGATCATATCGCAGTACAACTCTTGATCGCGAGTCAATAGCAGGTTTCTGGAGGCATAAAAGTGATGTAGTTTAAATATTTAAATAACAATATATTTTGGTTTGTAACAAGCTGATAGTAGCAGTGGTGAGATGCTTCCTACGTAGCTGTCAGCCACGTTACCTTTGTAACGAAAAAATTGTTACTTTCATGATGTAAAATTCTTGCTTTATGGTGTTACATCTGTAACGCATCAAGTAATTTTATTATAATGCGTTTTCTTATTATTAATATTCTCCCAGCAGATCATAACGAATTCAGTTCAATTGAAATGAGTACACACTGGGCTCCAGTGAATCCTGCTTAGCAGAGAACTTTTGGCAGGAATATTCCGCGATGGCGACATAAATGTCATTTGTCCCACGGAAAAATTTAAGTTCGACCTGAGAAAATAATTCCAGAAATTATTGCCGAATTCGACAGCAGTTTAATCGGGGGCATAAAGAGATAACAAAAACATACAGACAAATATGCGAACGGTATTCTTGGCCCCGGTTGAGAGATGGCTTTACAGATTAAAACAGGCAAACAAAAACAAAGCCATCTGCAGTTTGACCTCCAGAACTAATGCTCCACTTTGTCAATTTTTCATCCTCTTCACTACCCCTGTGAAAAAAGAAAGTAGAAATAATGGAAAAGTTAATATAACAAAAAATTTAGAAAGATAGAAATAATTTAAGAGTATGTTTAAAATTTGCTATTGTTAAAGACGGATGTTAATTAACAAAAAAAAATAAAGATAGATAATTTAAAGAGAAATAATAAATATTTAGAAAGAATACTAGTTTTTATTATTTAACAATTCCGCTTATTTGGAAAGCGTAAATTGCTCTTCGCTAAACAAGTTAGAATAAGGTAGTGGACTGTCACCCAGAAATATTATTCGTTCAATAAACCCGAATAGACGGTATTTTATTGAAAATGATTAACAAAAAGAAATGAGATAAAACCCTAAACAGTTTACATTTAGTTTCCCAATTGATTTTTAATAGAAAAGGTTTACAATTTAAATAATATTTACTTTAAGCTACTTGATTAACAAAATCAAGTCTCACAAAAATATCATTTATTGCAAGCACAATAAAGAGTTCAATATTAAACAATATAACAATAAAATAAATGATACCGAAAAGTATCTAATTACTTTTCAACGCTTGAGAATTTGACCTTCGTATATTATATATATGATTCTCAAACATGCGGAAGTATATTTTTTCTTTTTCTGTTTTTTATAAATTTCCTTTTATTAAACTTGTAATATTTATTGACTTGAAACAATTATTTTAATATTTCAAAAATTTGCTTATTAAAAATGCAGAAGTTTGGGTTCACCAAACCTGAATTTTCCAAACAGTTAATTTTGAGATATAAACAATTGTTGTAATAAAATAATACTTTCTGAATTTAACTGTAATTTGCACTTTTAAGATGTATGACTTTTAAATAATTGAATATTTATATTTTTCTTTTCTTTTTTATAACGATCTTTTATAACTCAATAGATTTCACTAATCGTAGAATATTCACTTGTATTTTATCGATAAATTCAACAATTTTAACCCTTACTGCGGGGAACAAACAGAACCTCAACCACTCTCAGTGGGAGTAAAACTTTTATAATCGTCCGCCTTTTTGCGAGAAAAATACCTCCGCTCTGCGGGAAAAACAAAATAAGACTCCTCGAAGAATAATTCGGTGGCAACGATCACACCCTGTTAGTATACAATTTTATGTGGTGGGAGGGTTGATTTTGCAATCAACACATCGTTGTTTCCATGCAAGTTTTAGCAAACTTGCATTTTATTAGTGGCGTGATCGGTTCAACCACCTGAATTACCTTTAAGATTTCTTATGTTTCCCAATTTTACAAATTAATGTGGCAACTTTTATACATGTAAGTCCCACAATCAGCGAAATCGATTGACAATTTAGTTCAAATTATTTCGCAATATTGAGTTCAATAATCTGACATCATTTGCGAAATAACCGTTGCTATAGAAATTAAATAAATAAAAAAAATGAAATTATAAATAGTTGTTAAATTAATTAGAAATATTATTTGAATATTCTAGTATCAGAAACTTAAATATGTGTGTGTGTGTTTGTTTTGTATATGTAGTTGGTATATAATTGACAAATAGTTGTAACATTAATTAAATAAATATTATTTTTAATAAATAATATTTATACAAAAAAAAATTTAAAAATTACGGAAATCCGTCCGTAACAGCTATAAACAATTCTGCACATAAGTAAGCGCAAATTTCTCCTCGCTAAACAAACGTTTAGGAAAAGGTAGTACCTTTCAGTATACTAATGATTTAGTAAACCCGGATAGGAGGTATTTTTGGTAAGTGTACTAAGCTACTTGACTTAAGACAAGTCTTACAAATAACTTTACTTTAATAAAAAAAATTAAATAAGAAAGATTTATTTAAAATGCAACATTAACAATTATTAAATGAGAAACTAATTACAAATTGCGTGCGTAAGATAGATAGTGATCAGGAATGTTTGGAAGGAACATTTCAAATCCTTGGATCCATGTCAAATTCATGATTCATTCATCAAATTTCAAAATTTTATAGGGGCCAAATGATAAATTTTTTTTGGATTTTTTTAAGGCACTTTTTCGAAAAAATGGCCAATTATTTTCTTAACTTTTCCGTGTGGAACATCTCGTAGAATATGCCAATTATGATGCCCATACCAAATTTGAGGAGAAAATATTACACGGTGGGTCCGAACCAAGTTCAACCCAAAAGTTGAGGCACGTCAAATTTTCTTGCGAATTTCCATTCTCTTATGTCTCCTAAGTAATTTAAGATAAAAAAGAAAAAAACGTTAAACGCATTTTTAAGAAAATCGAGGTTTTTTTATGCTAAAATCACTGCTGCTCAGCAATAATTTCAATCCAAAATTCTGGCTCTTCAAATTTTCTTGTAAATTTAATTACGATATTCTTTCTTTGAGTAATTCAAAACCAATAGAAGAAAATATTAATTGAATACTAGCGTCGTATCCTCTCTCGCTAACGCTCGCGTATCAAATTTCGCACTCGGCGGGAGACAGCAACTTTCGGTACTTGGTGCACAATGTACTATACTTTAATCCTGAGCAATAATAATAAAAATAGTAATCTTACAGATGAAGAAAAAAGAAGAAGAATGGAGAAAACAAGAATATGAATAGACAATAAAATAAATGATATTTTAAAATTATAAAGAAATAAAAAGGATTAAGACAACTAAAACTATAAAAATCTTTTCCAAATCAAAAAAAAAATTATTTATGTTAAGAAACATAAGCATTTCTCTCTTGCTCACTTGAAGGCAAATAAATATTATATTAATAGTATTCTAAAAACAAACTACTTTACATAATATCAACCAACAACAGTAAAAATTACCAAATTGAAGTTCAGTAAAAGTTATTTTTAAAAGAAGCCCATCGTTCCCATAAGACTTAGTCTAGCATAGGGATTAGGATTTAGACTCCGTTAGAATCGTTGATTTTAACGAGTTTTTCGAGAGATGGGTTATAGTCAAAAGGGAACCACTAATTTTAGGTTTAGAATCTTTACATTTCCAGAATCTACCATCCAAATGTAGTTTAAAACGCGAGGGACAAGTCCCAAAAAGACTCAGTCTGTCATCGGGACCAGCACTTAGACTCCGTAAGAAAGGATTTTAAAAAATACCAAAAAAAAATTTTATCGTCTTTTCTCAAAAAATTTTTTTTTAATCGAAAAAATTCATTGAAATCCTCATAACTTCTGTTCTAATTAATAATTAATTAATAATATCTTTATTGGGCCCTACGGCCTATATCTCAATACAATAATATAAAATAAGGTACATAAAATTGAAAAGATGTATTCAGTGGGAGTTCCTTTTTTCTTTTCTTTCTTTCCTTTTTACAATTAAGTGTAACCGAGTATTCGTTCCTTTAGCATAACTTCAATCATTCTTACAAATTTTTTTGCTCTTTCTACACAATCCGTGGACAAGATTTCGCCCCATAGCGCTGCCGGACTTGAACTCAACATATATTCTGGAAAAAAGCGCTCCCTTGTGTAGTTATATCTAGTGCAATCCACCAAGAAGTGAGCGAAGCTCTCTTTTCTCTCATCACACCACATACAATGTTCTCCCTTCGGCAACTCTACTCTAGCAAAACCCGTCCACAAAAAGTTATGATATTTGTTTACAAGTCGCAGTTGCGCAAACAATCTCTTTGACGATAGATTCATTCTCTTCAGTAGGTAGGGCTGGGGGCCGGGATACAGGCGAACAAATGGCCAGACCTCAAGGCTCGTCGATTTCTCTCGGGAGCTCAAATCTAGCTTTAAGCAGAATTTCTCAAAATTAAAATTAACTCGAACAGCATTAGCCGATATCATCTCTAGCGAGCCTGATCTCCACAAGTCAACCTCCCCTCCTTCCACAAAATAAGGCTTCAACTGACCAAACCAATTGCCCCCGCCAGACGCCGGGTCCGTGCGCGCCATTGCCATAAGTCTCAACAAGCACTGCCTTGGATACCGAGTATTTTCCATTCTTGCAATTTTTCCAATCCAAGACAGCGCCCTGCCGAGCACTTTACACGACAACGGCAGGACACCTGCCTCCAACCGGACCGCATAATTTGCCGTGCATGAAGGGAGATGAAGCAGATTCTTAAAATACGCCAACTGAACTTTCTCAACATCCGTTCCCCGATCCACGCCCCAAATCTCAATCGCGTAAAAAAGAGTGCTACAGATCAAACTACTGAAGAGCCTCGTGTACGTAGACCATGTGTCCGCCTGCAGCCCATTTATTATCTTCAATGTAGACCCCGATGCAGCTTTAGCCGAGCTAACAAATTTTCTACTGGCCAGTTCGAAAGAACCTAAACTTTGGAAAATTACTCCTAAATACATATAATCTTTTACGACTTCGATTTTTTCGTTTCCTATCTTAAATGCTTTGTAATTTTTAACTGAGTTGTTTGCGCCTTTTCTAAAGATTACAATTTTCGTCTTTTTTACGTTGATTTCCAGTAATTTCTCTCTACAATATTCAAAGAGGGCAGTCAATTGTCTAACCAACTCATTAGGGGAATCTGATAATAAAACTAAGTCGTCCGCGTACGCGAGGACCGGTACCTCAGTCGAACTATTAATCGAAAGTCCTCTACATCCTTTGTTTCGCAGAAAAATTTCCAACTCGCTGATAAATAGGGAGAATAAATGGGGGCTAAGTACTTCGCCTTGCAAGACACCTTGAGACACCCTAATATAATCGGTTGATCCTTGCCAAGTTCTGATACTGGCGGACGCCTTTTCATAAAAGTCCTTCAAAAGATTTATAAATTTTGAGCTTATGCCAATTGTGTAATTTATGCCACAAAATATCATGCGCGACTGAGGGGAAGGCGCTCTTAAAGTCAATGAAGGCTGCGTAGACAACTCTACCTGGAATTTTTAAATGTATTTGTAGTAAAGAATTTAATGTGAAAAGGTTGTCCACGCAGCCCCTTCCCCTTCTAAATCCCGATTGGAATTCGGGTATCACCCGAAATTCCCTTTCCCACCTCAAAAGTCTGTCCGCCAGTATCTGAGT